CCGAAGTAGACTTAGTAGAACGTCCTGCGATGCTGCAGGATTCTGGCCTTTTCCTCCTCTTTCTTCCCTCAGGGCATCACTTGGATACAATTGTTAAACTGGAGTTTTGTGATGATGTTTTTTTATGTGTGCAATTATTATCTCTTCCTTTCACATGTCAATGAATATGAATTTGCAAAGGTTTTCGCCTTTCCGTATATGCCTTATTCTTGTGACCCGAAAAAGACCCCACCCCAAATTGTGTTCCAGTGGATCACCAGGGACTTTTCACTGTGCCTGTGTGTTATTGTTAGGCAGCTGTTACCACTGACCTTGTGTGAAAATACACACCCTTCTTCCTTCAGGCTAAAGCTGTTGCTTCTTTTCCAGCAGAAAAAAAGAAACTTCTGTGCAAAACAATTGCAAGTTACACATAGTTCTGTGCATTTGTATAGGATTAATTTTCTGAATTGAGGACTCAACCTGTATGGGAAAGGTTACCACAAGGATTCCATACCATGTCCAATAATACCTTCTATGACACTTTAATGATACTAACTGATGTATACATATAGATTACCCTACCTTCTCCTGTAAGTCTAATTTCCCAAAGGGGTATCTTGAAATCATGCTGATATCTTCTGGGCCTTCATCCTGAAGGACTTACTGGGGATCAGTGATAATGACCACCTTGACATTAAGAAGTATTTATTACAGCAGGGGTCTCCAACTGTGGCCACTTTAAGACTTGTGGACTTCAATTCCCAGAATGCCTCAGCCAGCTTTGCTGGCTGAGGCATTCTAGGAGTTGAAGTCCACAAGTCTTAAGGTGGCCAAGGTTGGAGACCCCTGTATTACAGTGTTCAGTGAGCTCTGTATAGTATAGCTGAATTCTTGTCAAGGACAGAACACCAAAAGTTTCAGGAATAGCAATAGCCCTTAGACTTATATACTGCTTTACAGTGCTTTCCTGCTCCCTCTAAGCAATTTGCAGAGTCAGCCTCTTGCCCCCAACAATCCGGCTCTTCATTTTACCCACCTCGGAAGGATGGAAGGCTGAGTCCACCTGGAGCCTGGTGAGATTCAAACTGCCAAATTGCAGGCAGCCGGCAGTCAGCAGAAGTAGCCTGCAGTACTGCCCCCCTGTGCCACCACAGAAAGAAAGCTGCTTAACATTTGGTTCTCAGTGCCATCATTTAAGAAGGATTTGGTCGAAATGAAACAGCTGCAGAGAAGGACTGGAAGACATCAAGAGGTTGAAGTCTCCTGAGAAGAGATTGAAGGACCTGGCCCTGTTAATAGGGAAAATATAGAGGGTATATAATAGTCTTCTCCCTTATGCTATAGCTCAGGTCTCAGAATAATGGCCTAAAGCTAGAGAAACGCAAATTCTTATAAATTATAAGAAGGTTCCATCTTGCTTGAGTAGATGCTTGAATTTAAACTTCTGCCTGACTAGGAAAAGCCTGATTCCCACTCCCGATTTGCTTAATGAGGAACGACACACAACCAAGAGGTGTCTTCGGATAAGCAAGTTTCTTCATTTGTTTCAGTGATTCAGGTTTAAAGAGAGCTCAGTCTCAATCATGCCTCTAGTGCAGGGGTCTCCAAGCTTAGCGACTTTAAGACTTGTGGATTTCAACTCCCAGAATTCCTCAGCCAGCCATGGTAGTATCTTCCCTCTTGATGCTTTACAGAAGGCATTCCAAAATAAAAGACTTGGAAGGGTCTTTGGAAGTTTTCTACTCCAACCTCCTCCTCCTCCTTCAGTGGTGTTAGATGCTGCCCTTCTGCTACGCTTGGTGCGAACAAGGTAGCAGCAGAGTGAGATTAGTTTCAGAGCATCCTGGGCTTATGAGAGCAAGTTGATCGAAAGAGGTTTAGTGATTAGAAAGCATTTATAGCTACCTATCCCGTACCTGACAGTCCAAGGCAGCTCACAACATTCCATAAAATCAGACTTGCAAAATCACCCAATACCATTTGGTATCCTATCAGTGTCAGGATTCCAGCAATTGCTCTAATTAAATCATGATTCTTGAGCCAAACTTCAAAAAACTTTGAAGGATTCATTAGAAGTGACATGCTGGCCCTGCCCTGTATGAAGCCAACTCTGCCCTACATCATTTACAGTCCCCTGCGACCCTGTTTTCCCCCCTTCCCCGCTGGGTGTGTCATAAATCAGACTCCCCAATTGAGCACCTTCACAGGCTGGGTGTCATCAATCACGTTCTCCAATTAAATATATTCCTGGGCAAAAGCTCTGGTAGTTTAGTTGCAATCTTTTAAAGAGAAGAGTTGGAATGTACTTTCGCTCCTAAACTGCTGCTCTTCCAGATTTCCTCCCCCCCTCCACCCCTTTTAATGGCAATAATAAAACAGGCATAGGAATGTTTGATGAGTTGACAATCACAGCACTACAGCTGCCCCTCAACTCTGCCAAATTAATTCCCACCCTAGCCCAATGCCCGTGCAAAGAGCCAGGTTTTCATGTCCCTCCTGAAGGGTAATAAGAGTTTGTTGCGTTAAGGGGCTCCGCCACAATTGCTTGACTTTATAATTAGTGTCTATAAGCAAACCACATGAAGAGGTTCAGAACTAGCTATCATCTACCCAGCACCAGTGCTCCTCTTTACACCCCGAAGCTGATCCAAATCCCCAGAGGCTGCCTCCCAGCAGATGCCTTGAGTAGGACTAGTGGTAATCCTCGACTTACAACCAATTCGTTCAGGGACCAAGGTTACAACGGCACTGAAAAAAGAGAATGAGGGCCATTTTTCACACTTACATTTGACCATCCCCCATGGTCACGTGATCAAAATTTGACCGCTTGGCAACTGCCTCGTATTTGTCCTGGAATCCAGTGATCCGCTTTTGCGACCTTCTGACGGGGGAAGCCAGATTCACTAAACTAAGTTAACTGCAGAGATTCACTGAACAACAGTGGCAAGAAAGGTCATAAAATGGGGGCAACGCTCACTTAACTGTCTTGCTTTGCAGCAGAAATCTGGGGCTCAGTTGTGGTTGTATATGGTGACTCCTAGCGGTGTGGATATGGAGGTCTTATCAGTACGAATGGCCGTCTCCCAACCTGCCTGAGCGGATCGGGCACATTCAATAAAGGAGTAACCCCCATGAAACCCCACTGGGTTATTTTTAACCTCCTTTCTTGAGAAAACAGAACTGGGTACCTATCATGTTTTCCACCTGGGAAACCCCACCTGGTCATCCTTCACCTTAGATATGTGCTCCCTTCTCCAGAAAAGATTTTTTTTTCCCCCGCTGGGATTATCCTTGGAGACTGCCTGATGCCACAGCTGTGCCAGGCCGTTGCTGCGGATCGAACACCTGATCGATGACCACCTTGTCCTGCCCTCAGGTGCTGTGAAGAACAGGTGGACCCCTCCCCCTCTTCTTTGTGGCCGCCCCTCAAACACCGCGAGACGGCTCTCGTGTCACCCCTGGTCCTTCTCTTCGTTAGATTTGACTTGGTTGTTCGCCTACAGTCAGAATCTTGCCAGACTAAAGCAACTATCTGCATAAATATGAATACAGGTAGTCCTCGGCTTACGACGACAATTGAGCCCAAAATTTACCAAGTGAAACATCTGCTAAGTGAATTTTGCCCCATTTTATGACTGTTCTTGCCACAGTTGTTAAGTGAATCCCTTCAGTTATTAACTTAGAAACACAATTGTTAAGTGAATCTTTACTTGTCAGAGAGTTGCAAAAAGTGATCCTATGAACCTGGGACACTGCAACCTTCATAGATACGAGTCAGTGGCCAAACATCCCAATTTTGATCATGTGACCATGGGGATGCGGCAATGGTTGTAAGTCGAAAAGCGGTCCCAAGTCACATTTTTCCAGTGCTGTTATAACCTTGAACAGTCACTAAATGAACTGTTGTAAGTCGAGGATTGCCTGTATAGTCTGTGAATCAAAGTCTTGCCAGACTAAAGCAACTATCTGCATAAATACGCATATTCTCCGTGAACCAGGAGGCCATCTTTGTCCTCTTCCTGCCTACCAGACATTCCAAGCTCAGCTTCCCCGTTGCCCTCTGGGGTGATGGAGGGAACAGCCCCTCCCTCCTGGACTCCAGGCTGCATTCCACCACATCAGCACAGGAGTGTGGAGGTTGTTCAGTGTTCAAGCTGATTTCTGATTAAGGGTGGCCATGCGTGGGGTCCACATCTTGATTTTCTGGAGTAGCACAACGATCTCTGACATGCCTATATAGTATGTCAACTCATAAAATATTTCTCTGGTCTTTCAGAGTTGCCAACAAAAGGGAGCGGGGAGTAGTGTTAGCAACTTGCAAAACCGAAACTGCATTCCGTAAATGTTTTTCATAGTTTCCAGGCAGCTGTGCAAAATTCTAACTGGAGAGCCTGATTGATGACTCTGGGCTATGGATGTGTCCCATTGGAGAATATGAATTATGATACACCCAGGGGGTGGGGGAAAACCAGGGTCAAAGGTGACAATGATGTATCTCAGAGTCGGCTACTTCCAAGCAGCACCGGCCTGTCTACTCCTAATAAATCTTTAAGCTTTGAAAATCCGGCTAGAGACTCATGATTTAAATGGGGGTAACTGCTGGAATCCTGACACAGTGCAGGATAAAAAAGGAAGGCGTATACATTCAACATATTTGCCAGGAATCTGGTCACCACTGCTCATATTCATATGGATCAAATTCACCTTCCTGTCCTCGTATTTTGTGGAAAGGTGCTTTCAAAAATAAGGAGCAGGATTAGCCCTTCCCTGTATTGAGGAATGTATGTCTCCAAACCTGGCAACTTTGAAGACTTGTAGACTTCAACTCCCAGAATTCCCCAGCCAGTCAATCCTACTTCCTCCACAAGTCGTAAAGTTGCCATGTTTGGGGACACATACACACACACACACACGCTTTATACCAAGGGTCTCCAACCTTGGCACATTTAAGACTTGTGGACTTCAACTCCCAGAATTCCTGAGCTAACATGATTGGAGGAGGAATTCTGCGAGTTGAAGTCCACAAGTCTTAAAGTTGCCAAGGTTGGAGACCCTTGTTTTAGTGGACTGATAAAATTTCTCTTTTCTAACAAACCTGATCTGGTTTCTACTTTCCTGGCTCCCTTGTGCAAACGATGGCATAGCTCATGTCCTCTACGAGTGTCCGAACGGCTGATGCCAAGCTCTCGTGTTTCTCTCTAGATTCAGGTTTCATCACCTACCCGCCCATTTCCACGTCCCACACTCCCTGGGTGACCACAGTGGACAAGGCCTCCAGCGCTTCGGACAGCGGCCCCTGGGAATACGTGGGCTCAAGGCGAGAGAGGGAGCGAGACCGGACACCCACCACAAGTGAATACAGCAAGTGAGTGCAGCTTCTACCGCAATATTGGTACAGCTACATAATTCAAGTTTGAAACCAAGTGTCATGCCCGTGTCAGAGTCTGAATCCGAGGAGGACGCCAAATAGCCGACAAGGAGTGGGAGTGGGGCTCCGTTGGCTGTGGATGAAACTGGGGAAGGGCAAAGTCCAGCTGGGCAGAGCAGGAAAAAGGTAGAACAAGGGAGAGGGAGGTCAGAGGAAGACTCACCCCCTCTTCATCCTAGGGTACGCAGGGAGGAACGGAGAAGGGAGCAACATGGGTTGTGTGGCTTATGGGGGAGGAAAGGGCCCTGATTCCCTTCATTAGCTGCAGCTGGGAACAGAGTTTATAAGAAAGGCAAGCTGCAAACAGCAGGCTGTTGGGAACAAACATGACTTTATCCTGTGTTGTCATGGCTTATCTGTGTTCCTGGCATCTTCCCAACCGTGTGAGTTTTTCCATGCCTTCAAGTCGGAAATTCTTGCTCCTCCCCTGCCAAACTAATTAGTTCAGTTTGGCTTGTTTGGACTTTAAGGTACAGTTTGTGTTGCTCATGTTTTGGACTTGATTTTCTGCAGCCAAAGGCTGTTCCTGGGAGTTTTTTCTCCAGCCAGAGGTAACCAGGACATTGGGGGCGAAGCTGGAGCTAATAAGTGGACTCCTACTGATTCTCTGACTGGGTTGCCTTTGTGCCACGCCCCTTTGGGTCACCACACCGATGCTGGAGTCACAGCGTAATCATTATAAGTAGTCCTCTACTTACCAAAACAAAGCAGCCCAAAATCTATGTTGTTAAGCAAGGCAGTTGCTAAGTGAACCTTGCCTCATTTTACGACCTTGCCACAGTTGTTAAGTGAATCAGCCCAGTCGTTACCACAGTTGTTAAGTGGCTTCCCCCTTGACTTTGCTTGTTGGAAGGTTGCAAAAGGGAACGTGACCCCCCTGGGAGATTGCGACCGTCATAAATATGAGTCCATTGCCAGGCGTCCAAATTTTGATCATGTGACCAGGGGGATGGTGCAATGGTTGCAAGTATGAAACGGTCGTAAGTCATTTTTTCCCAATGCTGTCGTAACTTTGAATGGTCACTCGATGAATGGTTGTTAGTCAAGGATTACCTGTAGTCATCGTTTTCTCTCTTTCCGGTCAACAACCGGCACACACAAGATCTTGGCTTGCATTTCAGATAAAAACATTGTCCTTTCAAGACAGAAGAGAAAGGGTGAACTGATGTAGGAAGAGCCAGGAAGTTCAGCTTCATAGCTGCTAAGAGACAAGCTTAGTATAATTGCACGGCTCAGCTTTTCTTGGCAGCGAAAGTCACTATTTTCACACTGTAGTGTTAAATCCACAAACTATCACAAATGGGGGATTCTAAGAAGAAGCCACAGCGACAGGAAATGAATAACCAGGTTGAGACTACCTGAGGCCCTAATGATGGCCTTTCGGTTTGTTTTCAGCTTTTATTTGGGCTTAAAAGTAGAAATGGGAGAGGAAGCTTTGGGAGAGAAACCGCTCACACAATCCCCTTCCTTGGACCTCCCAGGTGGTTGGCTGGGATTGGCATTTTAAAAACAGGGATGCCTGTAGCTCGACTCTCGATTTCGGGGTGTGGAGATCCTGTCTGCCCCAGCCAGTTCCTGCATCGTATAGGCATGTTTGTTGTGCTCCTCCAGAAAAATCAAGATGTCGACCCCACGCAAGGCCAACCTTGGTCAGAAATCAGCTTGAACACTGAACAACCACCACATTCCTGTGCTGATGTGGTGGAATGTAGTCTGGAGTCCCAGGAGGGAGGGGCTGCTCCCCCCACCCCTCCAGAGGGCAAAGGGGAAGCAGAGCTTGGAATGTTTGGTAGGCAGGAAGAGGACAGGATGGCTTCTTGATTCATGGAGTATATGCACATTTATGCGGATCGTTGCTTTAGTCTGGCAAGACTTTGTCTGTAGACGAAAAGCCAAGTCAAGTCTAACAAAGAGGAGGACCAAAGGTGACATGATAGCAGTCTTCCAAAATTTGAGGGGCTGCCACAAAGAATAGGGGGTCAACCTCTTCTCCAAAGCATCTGAGGGCAGGACAGGAAACAATGGATGGAAGCTAACCAAGGAGAGAAGCAACCTGGAACTCAGGAGGAACTTCCTAACGGTGAGAACAATTAACCAGTGGAACAGCCTCCAAAAATCATGGGTGCTCCATCACTGGAGGTTTTTAAGAAGAGACTGGACATCCACTTGTCTGAAATAGTACAGGGTCTCCTGCTTGAGCAGGGGCTGGACTAGAAGACCTCCAAGGTCCCTTCCAACTTCTGTTACCCAGTGGTAGTCCGCGTGTTGCTCTTGGATTTTGAGCCTGACACCCATACTTCGTTCTTCTCTCCTAGTGACGATGAGAGGTACCGTTATTACAGCCGTGAACGCAGTTACGATTTTGAGCATGGTGACTACCGCCGGAGTAGAGATCGCAGTCGGGAGCGAGAAGATCGTCACCGGGAAAGGAGGCACAGGGACAAAGAAGAGAGCAGCAAACATAAATCGTCTCGGCGGTAAGTCGTTGGCTGTCCTAGGCTGGCTCCTCTTTTTGGGTCGGGCCAAATGCTTTTGAATTTAGTGACAATGCAGGTAGTCCTTGACTTACGACCACAATTGAGCTGAGTGAGCTTTTGCCCCATTTTACGACTTTTCTTGCCACAGTTTGTTGGGTGAATCACTGCAGTTGATAAGTTAGCAATAAGTTAGCAATAAGTTGTTGTTGAGTGAACCTTTGACTTTCCTTAACTGAAGGTCACAAAAGGGGGCACACTGTGACCGTCATAAATATGAACCAGTTGCCAAGCATCTGGATTCCGAGCACGGGGATGCTGCAAAGGTCGTAACTGTGAAGAATGGTCATAAGTCACCTTTTTCAGTGCCGTGGTAACTTTGAATAGTCACTAAATGAACTGTTGTAAGTTGAGGACTTACCTGTAGTAGTGCTGAACTGTATTCCAAACTTAAGTCTGAGTTAGTGAGAACAAACTTCTACTTTGCCTGCTCTAGTGAAAAGCTCCTGGTCGGCTAAAGGTTGCTCCCCCATTGTGGCTCTCCTTCAGCTAGACTTAGAGTAAGTTCCTCAAAGGCCCTGAGCCTCCACCAGAGGGAACCTCTTGGCCAGCATGGATTGCCGTGAGGTGCAGCTGACGAGGGAGGACTGGGGGAGGCGCCAAGACAACCCTCAGAGAAGGGAGCCTTGAGCCCTGGTCAAGAAAGCTACTTGGGAAGACTCTCTCCATCCAGCCCGGCCTGGTTCACCTGAAGATAAAGGGAGGAGGAGGAGGGAGTTACTAAAACTTTACAGTGAAGGTAGCCCTGATCTACAGGTAGTCCTTGACCAGTCCTTTAGAGACTAGGTGGATCTACCTGGGGGTTACCTATGACCCAGGTTCAAAATTCCAATGGTTGGGCCCCCTCAGTGCTCACCTGTAGCACTTAGCCACCAGGTCACACTTACACCTGTTTGCAGCGTCTCAAGATCGTATGACAGGGATTTACGACCGTCATTCACTTCCGATTTCTGGCAAAAACTGCCACTGGTTCGCTTAATGACCGCCAATTAAGATTTGCTTAATGACCCAGGTGATTTCCTTAAATTTTATGCAAAAAAGGTAAAGTCACATGACCAACCCATTTTATGGCTACCATGGTAACTTGCAACCATGGTAGTCAGGCTCCACGATGGTCCTCCTTCCTGAAGGGCTGCCCCCCTATCCCTTTTAGTTTCTCAGGCTGGTCTGCCTTATAGGGCTGAAGAAGGGCTGGAAGGAGATCTGCGCTAAAGCAGGTAATGAGCGTGATCCTCCCAGGGAAAGCATAGAATCACAGGGCTGGAAGGGGCCTCAGAGGTCTTCTAGTCCAACCCCTTGCCCAAGGCAGGAAATCCTATACCGCCCCAGTAAAGTGGTTGCCCAGCCTGTTTTGGACCCCCCCAGGTGTCCAATGATGGACGCCCAAGAGCCCGGGAGGCAAGAGGCCCTATTGAAAACCTGTAGTTTTCAACCTCCTTTGAAACGGAATCGATCCTACTCAAGGACTCTCTTTCACCTTGTGGGAATCTGGGGAGCAGGCAGGCAGGATGGGGGAGGTTTATCCACTTGGAGACCCAAAAGTGTTTTTAAGTAACGGCATCTATTTCACAGGCCCTGTTGACTAGCCCGCTGCCTTCTGTTCTTTTCAGAGACTGTAGGTATTTTTCTCGCCTGCCACAATGTGGAGCAGCTACTGATTTCTAAGATGGTACGGAATCCCTTTAAGAAGGGGTAATTTACCTTTCTAGGCTAGGGCTTAAAAAGCCCAACGTCCGCAATTTCGTGGATGAAGGCAAATATTATACACACATCCCAGGAGGACGTTGCAGGATCCAGTCTGGGTGGGTCACTGGGACCAGAGGGTTACGTCTTCCAGGCTTTCAGACTGGGGCTGGAGGAGCCCATCCTCGGGGAACGTCCGTCTCCCTCTCCCTGTCTCTCTTTTGGCGCGCACAAGAGAGATTCCCGGATGACCCACCCGGACCCGATCCTGTCTCAACAGAGCGCTGTTGCCTGGCTGTCACTGGAGCTGACACTCTGCTTCTTTCCCATCAGCAAGCAGCATGAGGGCGAAGAAGGGGAAGGCCACCGCCGACACAAGCACAAAAAGAACAAGCACAACAAAGAGGAGAAGGAGGCGAGCGAAGATGGACTTGCAGGAGGAAACGAGCAGGACGCCAAGGAGTAGCGCTCCTGGACTCCCTCCGCCAACCAGGAGGGGTGCCTCTCCGGCCGACGTTTCCCTTTTGGGTGGCGCCCAAACATGGACACGGGTTGAGTCGCCAACGTGGGAAGCCAAACGGCAGGACTTTGAGGAGAGGGCCCCAACCCAGCCCCCTCTTGGCCTGGAGGGCTTCTCCAGGCAGGCCAACTCCATCGTTTCAGATCCTATGGCTTCTGATGGGAGTCCGCTTCAGCAGGAATCCCTGCATTTAGAGACTAGGACAATATTGGGCAATTATTACGGTTTCCCCCTTTTTTAAAAGAGAAGCGGGGCAGCAACCCCACGGAGCTGTTTTGGTACAAGAAGAAACCAGTGTTAAGTCATCCTCCCCGCCAGGCATTCCGGCTCCTATAAGCGAGTCCCATTTCTCCTTTGCCCCTTAACTGTAGCTTTTGAACTCTGGACTTCGTTCAAGGAAAAAGCTTGGTGGGAAACCACAAGTCAGTCCCTGGAGCAGTTCTGCCCCTTGAAACGCCCAGCTTCTCCAAGAAGGCCCTTTCTAGCTAGGCACCTGGAGTCTTCCAGATCAGAGTGTTTTATTATGACCACTTCGTGGTGGATTTCAAAGTCGGCCTTAAGTAGCTTGACAGAAGCTACTTACTTATCAAGAGCCTCTTTTTTTTTTTTACCCAAATGAATTTAAAAACCGGCAATTTATCCGTCTCAGAGTCGCTTTTCACAACTCTTGAAACACTAAATGTAGACCTAGGATTTGTGGTTTTCCTTTGGAAAAGAATACGTGGGAGTCTCTCTTCAGGTCATCGCTCTTTTGCGCACATCCACCCTTGCATTAACCTTCCACCCGTGGGAAATGTTTAAAAGCACTTCCTAAAAATCATTTCAACTTTATACTTTTTTTGTATTGTAGTTATGCGAGTTTGAGTGTTTATATGAAACTAACAACCCTGGACACATGAGCCAGTATACCCAATGTATTTTGATTTGTATGCTATGATGATGCAGTGAATGGGTCAATAACAGGAAATATGTAGGGAAAAAAAAACTTTTGGGGCGGGTGGGTGGGAAATGGGATTAGTTTCTGTGTGGTCATGGCATCTAGGACTCGATGAAAGCAGCACTTAATACTAAATTTTACACTGCAAACTTAATTCATAGAAGCTTGCTGGCTGTTTTGTTTGTCATATAGAAGTACTGTGTTCTTAAACCTCTTGGATGATGTAGACCCAGTGTGCTCAGGAGGACAAACTACGGCCCACACGTTCCTATTTCATTTTCTGGACCAGTGTTTCTCACAACCTTGGCAACTTGAAGACTAATCAGAATAGAATAGAGCTGAAAGGGACCTTGAAGGTCGTCTACTCCAACCCCTGCTCTAGAGGAGACCCTATACATTTTTACACAAGTGGCTGTCCGGTCTCTTCTTAAAAGCCTCCAGCGATGGAGCACCCATCACTTCTGGAACCAAACCATTCCAACGATTCATTATCCTCACTGTTAGGCAGTTTCTCCTTAATTCCAGGTTGCTTCTCTCCTTGATCAGGTTCCATCCGTTGCTTCCTGTCCTGCCTTCAGGGGCTTTGGAGAATAATTTCACCCCCTCTTCTTTGTGGCAGCCCCTCAAATCCTGGAACGCTGCTATAGTGCGAGGGCCAATTCTGGAAGTTGGTCCTCAGATCTTCCAGTTATCAAGATTGAGAAACACTGCTCTGGAGCCGAGGCAGCACGCAAAATCAGCCCACCCACCCCCACTCCTGGTCTGCGGACAAACCTCTCCCCACGGAACCAGTCCCTGGTGGCCAAAAGGTTGAGGGCTGCTGGTTTAGAGCAGGGGTCTCCAACTTTAAGACTAGTGGACTTCCAACTCCCAGAATTCCTCCTCCAGTCATGTTGGCTCAGCAAAGCTGGCTGAGGAATTCTGGGTGTTGAAGCCCACAAGTCTTAAAGTTGCCACGGTTGGAGACCCCTGCTCTAGAGCAGTGGCCCCCAAACTTTTTTGTGCCATGGCCCGGTACCGGCATCACAAAATGATCCGTGGCCCGCTACCGGCATCAGCACGCATGACAAGGCAAGGCGAGCCGAGCGACCGGCCAGCCAGCCGTCTCCCGCTTCTCCCTGCCACCTTCAACTCCTCCTTTGTACCTTTGTCGATGGGCTTCGCTTCGGGACGGTCGCTCGGCTCGCCTTGCCTTGGGTGCTGAAAGAATCCTCGCGCCTTAGTTTCGTTCGAAGCCGCCCCCCCCCTTCGATGAAACTAAGGCGCGAGGATTCCTTCAGGACCTAAATGCCACTTTCCAACCGGAAAAGCTCACCTGGAAGCACTTTCTTGTCAAACAAGATGGTGGCGCCCAGCAAACCGGCGGCCCAGTAGGAAATGTTCCACGGCCCGGTACCGGTCCGCGGCCCGGTGGTTGGGGACCCCTGCTCTAGAGTACTGTTTATGTGTGGACTTCAAATCCCAGAATTCTTTGCCATGGCCCTGCTGGTTGGGGAATTCTGGGAGTTGAAATCTGCACATTTTTTTAAGGTGCTGAGATCAAGAAACAGTGGCCTAGACATGGTGTGTAATCATGGAAATGATACTCGGAATACCCAAAACAAATTATAGGCTCTCCAGACAAGGTTCGTTGTTTTTTTAAAGAGCTTTTTGTTTAAAAAAAAAACCTTCAGCAACTTGGTTGTCTCAACGACTTTGCAGCCTTCAAAGATGACTAATAAAGGGCCTGTTTCTTATTGTTTTACCTTTAGGGCTGAAAAAAGTTGCCATAACATTTTGATAGGAATGTTGTTAAGATCCTAATCTACCCTTGTCCATTCAAATGTTTTTTAAGATTAAAACTCTACATCTCATCACTTTGAAACAAAAGGGTTGGCCTAACCCCGCCTTCTCCTTCCAAACTAAATAGCAACCTATAATATCTTTTTAAACAGTAAATAAATGTAAATCCAATAAACAAACAAACAAACATTTAGGAGGACAAACCATGATGCTTTACATTCATGGGATATTTCAGATGCTGAGCGCTGGGATGAGACATACGATCTTCCAAACACCACAACCAAGGTAAGAATATGCCTCAAGCGGAAGAGCTTGCGCACCAGCGATCACAAAGAAAAATGAAAGACGACTGTCGAAGTTGATCTGGTCAGAACAGAAAACCCAAACGTCTTCCGTAACTTCAGAATAATAATTTATAAATGTATCAGAGCAGTGACAAACGTCTCTACAAGTTTCAACATTTTTTTTTTGGTGCAAAATAATACAATAGCTACCAGATTTCCTGCTGATTGTTGAAGGCACATTGAAATCAGACAATACAATGAAATGAAAACGCACGTCCCCTTCATTTGAGAGAAAAGGTTTGACACCCTTTTTATAGCTGTTGCAAGAGTCACACATTACAGTGGTCACATGGGACTCCAAGACAAAGAGTCAATTATTCTTATTACCCGTCAGTTAGGCAGACCAGTATCCTTTCAAAGCACATCTGAAGGCAGATGCTGACTTTCAGAAATATACTCTGACAAATACATTTTTAAGTGAATCAACATCCTTAAATGGAGCACTAGTACCTACTTGCCAGATTCAAATGAGGCAACAGAGTCCAAGCATGAATCATATTTAAACAAATCATAAGTCTTTTTTGTGTTGATTTGCTATTTTGCACAGCCTCTGTGAATACCAAGTCCTGTGTTTGCATCAGCCTGACTTGCTGTTCAGTTGAAATAAGGCGCCAACTGAAAGGCACCCTGAAATCTCCAGGAAGCCAAGGTCCTGGGAGAGGCAGAATCCCCTTGCAAGTTGTTTCCTGAGATGTGTGTACCTCCCACCATCTTGTGAGCAAGTGGGAGAAGCACATTGTACAGCAAGGGTCTCCAACCTGGCAACCGGAAGGCTTGTGGCGTTCAACGCCCGGAATTCCTCAGCTAGCCATGCCGGCTGGGGAACTCTGGGAGTTGAACTCCGCTAGCCTTACGGCGGTCGAGGTTGGAGAGCCCAGTAATAGAGGGTTGCTGTGTTTCAGCAACCTAAAACTTCTGTGCAAATCAAGGGCTGAGAAATCCATTTTCATTGGAGGTAGCAGGCCCTATTCATTTCCTAATTACGACAAACTAATGAATTCTCTAACCACACAATATTTGCAAACAGGTAGTAGGATCCCTTTGTAAATCATGAAACTTCGCCGAGCATGGACAACAGAAAGCAGGTTTTCAACCCAGTGAAATAAATGTAGTGTATCCTATGCTTAGAAAAATAATTATTAAGGCTATTTTTTTTTTTAAGGAAAAAAAAAAAGATGACTTTTACAAAAAAAAAATTTCTTATCTTCAAGTGTCAGCATATGTGTGCGCGCACACATGTGGAAGAAAACATAGCAAGCACCTTCCATAGGCACAGTTTTTGCTACCTTTCCGTAGTGGGGGGATGCTTATTCCTCTCTTCGATTTGCTGTGCAACTGTTCACAGGACAAAGTCTCCGCCACAGTCACGGACAAAAGGACGTGCTTGTTGAGCAATCTTGTTAAGCAATCACAAGGATGCTCAATTAGCTCAGGGCTATGACTGATCAAAAAACAAACACACAAACACTGTGGGGATCAGATCAAAGGAAAACAACCCAAGGGAGGTGGCTTTTTGATGGCCTTTTTTTTCCCCAGTGGATAAGGTTGGTACGCCGAGCCATCTCCTTCACCACCAGCCTCCTAAACCACGGGTGGAAAAGACAGCTGAAGCCCCCCCTGGAAATGTATCTGGGCAGAGGGTGGATGCCCTCAAAAGGACAGCCGGGGGGGGGGGGGGCAGATGGCTTTACTTCCTCCTAAGCGTTTTCTTTGGCCATCTGAGCTGCTGCGATGAGAAGCGAACTCAACCAGGACTGTGGTCCTAATGAGCTTGTTGGGATGGGAATGAGCTGGAACAGAATCCTTCTTCAAGACATTTATGGGAAGGTCTGGGCAGCTGGCTTGGTCTGAAACCTCACCCCCCACACCCCCAAGTTGTCTGCAGAGACACAGTAAGCCTCTATTCAGTGCCTATCCAATGGCCACAGTCTGCCGTGAGTAGCTCATTCATATTCCCTCTACCGTGGGAAAGAAGTGACAGGAGAGAAACCCTGAAAGGGGGCTCAGTTGGGGAGGAACGTCCTTCCCGTGGCCTTCCGGACCTCCTTGAAAGCAACTCCTGAAGTCAAACAAGGCTGTGAAGCGTGACGTAACCCTCGAGACTGGCTCCAGGCCGAACCGTCAGGTTGAGCAAGAGGCATACATACACACCTCAACAACGGCTGAGCATTCCCAGGCCTCCTCCTGTGCAAGGCACCAGTAACTACTACAGGGAGACCCATCAAAAGGATTCGCCCGTTGCAATGACTAGTCAGTAAACTGGAAGGCTGCTGTACTTTAGTTTGCTAAGAGCCGAGATGATCGTATTAAAGGCCATCGATCACTTGAGTTTCAGCCTGCTGTCCTTTAGTTTGGCGGCTTTACGAGGAGACTTCAGGAGAAGCAGGCTGGCGCACAGAGTTTCCCTCTTCAACAACAACAACAACAACAACGAAAATAACCCTGCCACGAGTTACCTCCAACTGCTCATCAGCTGCTTTTAGCTTACCGAGCTGATGGATCTAAAATCAAACTCAACAACAAGCTACATTTTTGCCTTTTCCGTAGAAAAACCTGCCCGTTGGAGGAAACCGGTCTGAGGCCTGCTCAGCCGCTGGTGGGTTGGCTCCCTCCAACGAAGGCATCTTGAATCAAGCATCCTATCCCAGTTGGCACCTTAGACGTGGCTGCCGGGCCACGAGACCACCGTTAGAGTCACTTTATTCCGTTGCTCCTTCAGCATCGGGATGAGCTGGCTGTTGCTCATTCCCACCGCGGACACGCCGTTGACGGCCACAATTTCATCCCCGCACCTGGGAGGGAAAAGGAAACAGGCCTGTTACAGCCACGCCCTCCTCAAGGCCTCCTTCACTGCGACACAAAACACGCACCACGTTAAATCCCCAGCCACATTTTACATACACACACACACACACACACACGTCCCTTTTCTTGTACATTCTTATTTCTTTCTACCGTTTTTACTTATTTGCACTTCGCTTCTGGTCTTGTTTCATAAAAGTTTTTAAATACCACCTGACAAAGGAAAAAAACAATAACAAGCATCCAGCCCCAAAGATTTTCAACCCAATTCACACACTAACTCCCCATTGCAAATGAGTTTACAGTGGTACCTTAGTACTCAACTGCTTCAAAACTCATCGGATTTTGACGTGTAAATTTTGTCCCAGTACTCATCGTTTGTTTCATACTCAAGGCACAAGCTAGAACTTTTCGGTATTGCCTGCCTTGTGACTCACTCCATTATTCCCTATGGGAAAAAAACTGTTTTGGGTACTCATCATGCCTCCTGGAACCAATTAACGATGGGCACCGGGGTACCACTGCACTATAGGCGTGTAACACAGCTTATAAAGGTGGCATTTTCTGACTCCCTCAGTTACAGCCTTGCTTCTTCCACGCTGAACACCAAGTCGTTCCTTCTGTTTTTCAGGAAAGAAAAGGGGGGAAACTAACACTTCCTTCCCAGACATTGAGCCGTGGTGAGCAGGGGTTAGAATACGGTATTGCAGGCTAATTCGGCCAACTGCCAGGAGTTCGATTCTGACCGGCTCAAGGTTGACTCAGCCTCCCATCCTTCCGAGGTTGGCAAAATGAGGACCCAGGTTGTTGAAGGCAACATGCTGACACTGTAAACTGCTTAGAGAGGGCTGTGAAGCTCTATCAAGCGGTATACAAGTCTAAGGGTTATGGCTATTTGCTGTGAGGCCATGAAAAGCCAGCTGAGTGGCACAGTCAACCCTCGCCTTCAAGCCCTGCTCTTAGGGGGAAGGGGCAGTTTTTGCCTGCTCTGGGGAAAAATCTTAAGGCAATGTTGACCTTTCCCTGGCCCGTCAATCTTGACTTCTGCAGATTCTGAGGTAACATTTTTCAGCATGCCGTGGTCCCCCTTTTCCTAGGGGTGAGAGAGAGGGGTGGCCCAGGGTCATCCAGCAGGCTTTGTGCCTAAGGCAGGGCTAGAATTCACCGCCTTTCAGTCTCCCGCCTGGGGCCCTTAACCGTTATCCCGGGTTGCCTCGCTAGCGGAAACCCCAAACCGTAGGAGCAAGAATGCACGCACTTCAGCCGCCGGTCCCAGAAGGCAGGAGTCTCAGGCACGATGGTTTTAATGAAGAAGGGCTGGTTTCCTTTGCTTTCCTCGAAACCGCCCACTATGCTGAATCCCCAGGTCTCCGCATGGCTTTTGTGCAAGACGATATCTTGGCAGAAGTGAAGCTGGCTGAAAGGGAAAAAAAAAAGCAAGGACAGCCCATGGGAGTTATCGCTTTTGCCTTTGGGCAGGGAGAAGGAAGACAGATCACCAGCAGGAGCAATGAACTAGGGCAACTTTTACAACCCGTGGACTTGAACACCCTGCAACGCAGAGGTAGAACTTGGAAGCGGTCCCGCAGGCGTCTCAGGTAACATTCACTGCCCTGTCCAGGAAATAATCAGGGATGACAAACTGGGCTTCTGTGGTTTGTATCCCTCCTGAGCTCCGTTTTCACTGGCAGAGGGTTGCAGGAGGCCCCGCAGCCGAAAAGGGAGCCCGTTTTCGCTGGCCACGCCCCCAGCCACTCCCCTCCAAAGTCAAACACACCCTGATGTGGCCCTCAATGAAATTGTTCTGACCCAAACCTTGTTCCAAGGAAACAAACACCAAACAGAGGTAACAGCAAAAACCTTTGAATGATTCTTTACGAATTCCGTTCCTTCCCAGTTAAAAGGCTGTTTCAAACTAATTGTCTCTGATAAGAATGAGCCTTGCAAAGGTGGTGCAAGGCTGCCAAGAACACTAAAGTTGCCAAGAAATATTTCAAACACCAAGAGTCTCCAAACACCAACCAAGATAAAGGCTTGAGTGCAAAAACTTCTTTGCTTCCTGCAAAGAACTCTGGTTTCTCAGCTGGCTTTTATCTCTAAAGGGAGGGGCTATTACTTTGCAGTCTTACTCCCGAGTCGCCCGTGCTGCTGCAGCTGCTCTTTCCTTTGAGCAGCCCTGGGCACAGGCTCCCCGGGGGCCTCTTCATCACTGCTGCCAGCCTCCACAATCTCCAAAGGCACCATTCCCCTCCCTGAGGGTCCTGGCCCCATCCCTGCATCACACGCAGGCCCCTCATCTGAGTCCTCGCTTTCTGAGACCTCATCACTGCTGCCGGCGAACCCCAACAGAAATTGAGTTGGACTCCCCTGCTCTAAATGATGACACAGTTTGTTTGATCCGGCTGAGATAAGCAAGAGCTCCTTCTCAGGAAGATTCCCAACCTTACCTTGGCAATCCCAGCCAGGTGATCCAGAGAGGAGACCAGCTGGCCCAGCTGTGCCCGTTTTCCTTTCTGTCCAGGCTCTCAGCCCCTTCCGAGGCCTTCTCGGGGATGACCACCTCCAGCGCTTTCAGCACCACTGTCTGCAGCGCCGCATTGGACTTGAGTGCAGAGACGGCTTCGCTGTAATTCAAGTGAGTCAAATCGACGTTGTTGATACTCAAAAGAATATCTCCTGTTTACAGAAATCGGAAGGAGACAGATTAGAACCAACCAATGCACCTTCCTAGTTTCGTTCACTAAGATCTTTGCAAATTCACGAAATTCCTATGTCAGTGACAGTTTGATCCAGGGGACTCCAACCTTGGCGACTTTCAGCCTGGAGGACTTCAACTCCCAGAACTCCTCAGCCAGCTTTGCCTGGCTTAAAAGTTGCCAAGGTTGGAGACCCCCTGGATTAATCAACATTTTTTTTTCAAAGGGGGTGGGGGTATCCTACCTTTCTTAATTCTCCCATCCCTCAAGAGACATCCAACTGGCTGGACACTGGTTACATAAATAGGGAGTTTGGCTTTGCCGTCTCTTCCTCCTCCTATTGTTATACCAAAGGACTCTTTGGGGTCCTTTTTTATGGTAACCACCTTTTCCTGGCTGAAGTATCCGTGGGGGAGTATCTACAAGTTCAGAGGAGGACAGGGAAGAAAGTCAACAACCCATCTATTACATGCACAACAGTTCATGTTAATTAACTAAGTCGATGAGATGTCAGCAGAATCCCCATTACATCCGACTGAAACAGTTCGTTTTCATATTTTCATTTCCAAGGGAGGTTTTGCAAAGGATGGGTGACACCATGGCAATATCCAGAGGAGTTTACACAGTGATTAAAAACACTAGAAGACCTTTCTCATGAGAATCCCATAGGTGCTTTTTCGAAAGGCAACTGGACTTTATTTTTCCTTGAAGATCTCTCACTTCTCATCCAAGAAGCTTCTTCTGTTCTGACTGAAGGGTGGAGAAGGGAAAGATTTACGTTCCTTGCAGTCATCTGGTCCTTAGCACTCTCTCTGAGGTCACTTGGAGGTTTATCTGTGCCCTCAGGGTCACCTGAATAATGCAAGGAATATCAATCCTTCCGTTCTCTACCGTTCAGTCAGAACTGAGGAAACCTCTTGGATGAGAAGAGAAGCGGAGGAGAAATCCAGTTGCCTTTTGAAAAAAACCCCTTTGGGGCAGCCACCTGGATGACTGAGAATCTCCACAGACATTTCTCATGAGAAATTCTTAAAAGTTTGATTTGGAGAAAGGAAAAAAAATAGTTATGCTTAAATGAAAGACAAAAGTATTTTGTCTGGGACAACTTTCAGAGCTGAAAACCTATTTTTTTAGGTTTGAATTCCTATGTAATAGGCTAAGAGAAAAGGTAAAACGATGTATTCAAAACATGTTTGTCAGCTGCAACACCCTACACAATTGTTCCCTATTCTCTCTCATAACTATACGCTTAATTCTCATGAAAGGGCTACAGTTTCATTCCCTGAAGTTAAAGGTGAACAGGAAGTGAGTCAGACAGGTATCCTGGCTAGAAAAAATGTCAGCCCATCTTTTGCAGAAAACAAGCTGGCTTGCAAAATGTTCCTGAATATAATTAAGGGCGGCTGTTGAAAATGATTTCAAAAAGTATATTTAGGCTTTTGTGTGGATCACCAGATGCCTGAACTATTTCTGTACCATGCAGAATGTTTGTACTGGTGCATTTTTCGTTCACACTTCAATAAGGACAGATAAATAACTACTTCAATGCAGAATTAAGATGAACTCCCAATAATGGTAAAATGAGAAATACCCCCTACGAGGACCACCTGTATGGGTATAGCAGGGTATGGAAAATTCATTTTTTCCCAGGAGACAGAAGCCCTATCTGTGGCAATAAATTTTGGACCATTAAGTCCTGAGAATGTGCAGATCCCCACCGATCATGGAAAATCAACCACCTCATAGCAAGAGCACTTATGTGCCGCTTTATAGCCCCCTCTAAGCGGTTTACAGAGTCAGCCTGTTGCCCCCAACAATCTGGGTCCTCATTTGACCCACCTCAGAAGGAAGGAAGTCAACCGTGAGCCGGTCAGGATAGAACTGCTGGCGGCGGGCAGAGTTTGCCCGCTTTACTACATTCTAACCACTACTTCACCACAGCTCCTTTAATTATACTTTAATTAACCAGGATAAAGTGGGGCTGGGTACTCAAATATACAGCATGATGGACAATTGAGGGAACTAAGTATGTCTAGTTTATTGTAAAGAAGGATTAGGGGCGGACACGACAGCAGTCATCCAATGCTTGAGGTGCTGTCACAGAGAAGAGGGGGTTGACTTATTCTCCAAAGCATCTGAGATCAGAACCATTGGGTAGAAGAAGATCATTCAAGGGAGATCCAACTCGGAACTAAGAAGGAATTTCCCGACAATGAGAGCAATGAGTTTGCCTCCAGAGGGTGCTCCATCCCCAGAAGCTTTCAAGAAGACCTCAGACAACCATAAGTCTGCAGGTCCCCCCTTCCAGCCTTCTGTTCTATGATCAGGCCTTTACCGGATCCCACCCAATGAAACCAGCGTTTCTCTACCAGAAGGCGACCTTGACGAGGACACTGGATCAGGCCTTCTCACAAACAGCATTTCCACTGGTGGATTTCTCTCCCCAGACCAATACAGACCGAGTTACACACACACAGACCTCCCTCCACCGTACATTCAATTCTGCCTGGCCTTATTTTTGAGCTTCTCTGCTACTGTGATGACCGGGCGCTTTGTACCACTTCCAGGACATTCTTGTGTTTGTACCCAGAAGATTCCCCAGGAGCCCTTCTTAGAGGGCTGCCTGTGTGTGTCGTACCGTTTCTTCACACGCGGCATTTTCACCGCAATCTTGGCTCCAGCAGAGAGAGAGACCAAGTGGGTGTCCCAACCAAACCCGCCCGAGCGGCCGATACCTTCTGATAGTTGGATCTTCGGCGGAAGTGACTCTGCTCCGGCTTCCGGCGACTGCGCTCCGGCACAGGGCTCCCCCCATTGCTGCTGGCGTTGGAAGTGCTGCTGCTGCTGCTGTCCTCGGCGGCTTCCGGAGGCTGCCCGCCGGCCGGCCGGAGGACCACGAAGCTCACCCGGGCTTCACTGCTCTGTCAGGGGAGGCCCCAGAAAAGGAGAAGCTTAGGAGAGAAGCAGCCCCGCCTCTTTTGCACCCGATGAGGTCATGGGGTCAGGGGCTTTTAAGGATCCCCAGGGGTCTCTGGGAAAGCTATAGAGCAGGCCGCCATTAAGGGTCTGTTCTATTTCTTAAAGCCGGTTTCATGACGACCTTAAAAAATAGAACATTCAATATATGCCAAATGGGGCACCCAATATACGAGATATATTGGATTTTCTATTTTTTAAGGTTGTCATAAAGCCACTATCTATACACACACACACACACACACACACACACACACCTAAAATAACTGCAATAAAAGTAGTAACTTAGTGAACAAATAGCCATTTGCACAATCAATACACAACTCACTAATAGTAATGAAATATGCCATTATTTATTTCCTAACGTTATTTGTATAAATAACTCAAGGTGACAAACACACCTATCCCTCCTTCTATTTTCGCCACAACAACCTCCCTGTGAGGTGGGTTAGGCTACGAGAGGGAGGGATCAGTTTTTGTGCTCAAGGCAGGACTAGAAAACTCAGGAGTCTCCCGGTGATTGGCCCAAAGTCACCCAGCCACCATTCGTGCCTAAGGCAGCAAGGCCCCCTGATTTCTAGCCTGGGACCTTCACCATTAAACCAAACTGGCTCGACATAACCATGAAGCACGACACAAGCAATAGCACTTAAGACTTATATACCGCTTTACAGTGTTTTTACCGCCCTCTCTAAGCGGTTTACAGAGCCGGCCTCTTCCCCCCAACAATCGGGGTCCTCATTTTACCCACCTCGGAAGGATGGAAGGCTGAGTCAACCTGGAGCCGGTCAGGATCGAACTGCTGGCATTTGGCAGTCAGCAGAATTAGCTGGCAATGCTGCGTTCTAACCACTGCGCCACCGTGTTATAAAACCACAGCAGTTTCTCTTTTAGTTGCATAGCCTTGAATCCCCCCAAATTTAGGGCCAGAACAGGAAATCGGCATGGAAATGTCCGAGAAGGAATTCCTGATTCCCCCACCCCTGGAAATGCCTCTCTCATAACAGAAAGGGTCAAAATTACTGTACGCATTTGGGGGGGAAAAACCAGTCAGAATGGACAACTGCAACTTATAATGCATAACCTTGAAATATTAATGCAGGTTAGTGTTGGTTTATTCTGTCGAAGTCTTGGATTGACTCTTAAGCCAGCTCAAAGTGAACACTTAAACCAGTGGTTCCCAAAGTAATTGCTCATTTACTAATGCAATTATTCTAAAACCTGTTGATATATCACACTACAGCAGAGTGTTGTTGTTTACTCAATGCAACCCCATAATTATGATTTGCAAACCACAGTATAAAGCTTAAAGTTTGTACACCACCCCAATTATGGTTTACACAATAAAATATGAATCAGCATACCAGCTTGCCAACAGAGTTTCTGTTGGTTTTGTTAGAAAGAAAGACAAGCGATTAGCTTCCCATTATCTTAATCACCCAATGGAATTCCTTCGAAACAATGCATCTTTTCTTCCCGTGCTATTTGTGTGTGATTTATCATCACCATCCAAATAAAGGCACAAACTGGGGTCTTTGGTGCTCTATGAATAAGGTAGGATTTGTTTGTTTTTTTTGCAGACCTTTCATTACCAAACTAGGTAACAGAAGCAACAGCACTGACAAGGTTACCTAGTTTGGTAATGAAAAGTTTGCAAGCAAACCACTAAACTCAGAGATCAGCAAAGAGCCAAGAGTTCAACTCTCAGCTACAAATGCTACTATAAATACATGTGGTCCTTGACTTACAACCACACTTGAGATAAGAATTTCCACTACTAAGCAAAGTCAGTCGTTAAGTGAATCTCACCCAATTTTACAATCTTTTTACCATAGTTGTTGAGTGAATCATCACTCTTTAACAAAGCCAACTTAACTTCCCCCATTGACTTGCCGGTTGCAAAGTGCCCGAATTTTATTTAATGCCTTAACAGTCATAAGTGTAAAGGGGTCAGTCCCTTTGTTTGGTGCCGCTGTAATTTCAGACGGTTACTAAATGAATGGTCGCAAGTCAAGGAGAATCTGCAAGCAACTGGCTTCTGGGACCCAATCCGCAGCCCGTTGCATTTGAGGTCTGTGGGTCTGTCTCATTATATACATCTATACTTTTTCAATCAAAACTGGAATTTTTGCCCTCAACTGGGGGACTATCTCTCTGTTCTAATAATCACACATTCATCATAAAACTTCAGTTCCTTGCAATTTTAAAAGATAAATAGGATACACCTATGGGGTGTTTTTCTATGTTTAATTTAAGAGGCCCCTGAAGCCATGACAGCAACTTCTAATAAAATGCACAAAGCGAGGAGCATGTAGGACTCGGTGCATGTCAGACAAGAATTTTCGGTCTAAAACTTCAGGTGCAAAGCTATTTCATTCCCTTCTTCTCTCATGAAATCTTGCAGTAGGAATTTTGATGCACAGCATTCCTGCACATATACAGTACATACATACCTACATACATATAAAATTAGGGCACTGAACTGCTTTACAAAGTTCATTGTTACGCTTTCTGATCAGTCTTAAAGTCAGAAAAGTATTAATAGTGTATTTATTATATTTTCATCTCATTTTAAATATGATGCAACCCTGGGGGTGGCTTAGGGCTTCCTCCACCTTGTTTAACATTTTGAACTCTTCTGAATTTGTTAACATTTTCATCTTCTTCTTCATTCTGTTTTTAACTGTGCTTTTAATCAGGTGTTCATATTGTTTTATCCGTGGTTATAAAACCTCCCAGAGCCACTTAGGTGTGATGGATGGTATAGAAATTTAATAAGGAAATAAATAAGAAATAAAATATTGAAATGGCTGATGCTTTTGGTCACTCATGCCCAGGTGACCTCCCAAATGGACTACTGTTTTGTCCTCCACACTGGGCTGCTCTTGAAAACTATCTCAAGGCTTCAGCTGGTGCCAAAGGCAGTAGTGCAGGCAGCTATGCTATTAAACTCCTTGGGGCTCTCTGAGCGTGCCTGTTTCCTTGCAGACGTTTCATTACCCAACTAGGTAACATCATCAGTGCACTGGTG